CCATGAGTTAGCGAACAATATACACAGGCAAATTAAAGTCGACCTTCGTCACACGCAGAGTAGCATAGAATTTTTAGATGTTAGAGTAAGTGTAACAGGAGATAGTTTGAGCACAGACGTTTATACAAAACCTACAGACACGAAGGCATACCTTCACTTCTCGTCGGACCATCCGATCCACACGAAAAGTGGCATTCCTTCGGGTCTGGCTATGAGGGCTAGAAGAATATGCAGCTCAGACAGTGCATATCAACGTCAGGCTGCCGATATAGCAGACAATCTCAAACGGAGGGGTTACCCAGAAGACCAAATTAGAAAAGGTATCAGGCGGGCCGAGAAAACGTCCCGAGACAATTTGCTGAGGAAAAAGGAAGGGAGGGGACAAAAAACAGGCACCCCTTTGGTCGTTACTTTTTCGAGTCATTTACCCAATATATCCAAGATACTAAAGGAAAAGAAAGCAATTCTCATGCGATCTGAATCGCTGCGGGACACATTCAAAGACGGTTTTTTCGCATCATACAAAAGAGGGACCAACCTGAGAGACACGCTAGTTCATAAAAAGACAAGGGACTTAGGGCGGGGAAACCAAGACCCACGGGGGGACTGTAAGAAAAACTGCTGCGTGTGCCGAGTTATGTACAACCAGACAGAGAAGTTAACCGGACCAAGCAAGAATGTAGAGTGTACGTATGATAAAACAATTGGGTGTAGGTCAAGGAATGTAGTTTATGGGATTATCTGCGGGGTATGTGAATGTGTAGTATATGTTGGGGAGACCGGGGGGACACTGTACGTCAGGGCGCAAAATCACTTGTCTACCATTAGATGTAAAAGGACCGAAATGGAGGTAGCCGCCCATTTTAACGGGGATGGACATAGCATCAAAGATGCAAGTTTCGTAGGGCTCGAAAAGGTTTGGAAAAACTGGACTATGTACAGGAGACAGAGGGAACAAAGGTGGATTGAGCTGTTGGGTACGCACCATCTAACGGTCACAGGGGGACTCAACAAGGAAAACGCGCTAGTAGTCCCCAGAAACACGGGAAAATGATTTATTGCAGTGTATGTTTGTATTCAATATGTTCAATGGTGTATGTCTGTATTTTTCCAGCCTAGGAGTAGTTAACAGAAAATTATGCGGAGTGGAGGTTTAGTAGGAAAATGAAAGTGATAATTAGGTAAAAAAAACATGTATGTATGTCTACGAAAATGAATTGCCGCGCCAGTATCGCCGATGAAGTGTTAAGCCGAACACGAAACGTCCGATATATGCTGAGTTTATATATATATATATATATATATATATATATATATATATATATATATATATATATATATATATATATATATATATATATATATATATATATATATATATATATATATATATATATATATTATGTTGACATCGAAAGGTCAAGGTCAAAGGTTGACCTCAGGTCATGTGACCTCGAGGTCATCATGTATATCATTCGATGCGTCTTGACGAGCTGAACACAATGAGACCATCCACGCGTCTGTATCTTGTTCCTGTACGGAGTTATTGGCCAAAAACCTTTGGTGACCTTTGATGACGTCACATGACCTCACAGCTGCCCAACAGCAAAACAGACCTCAAAGTAGTGAAGGTTGATCGTATATGAAGTCATGTATGGTATATGGGGCCATTCCGACCCGTTTTAGTGGTAAAAACAGGGAGTTGATTTTTCCCCCATTGACTTATAATGGGGAGGTCGCGAAATTGACCTGACCTTAGGTCACCGATATCAAAATTCCGAGATATACAAATTGTAGCTACTAATGACCTAATAATATCCTGCGACTTTCAAAGGCCTCCGACATCTACTGTAGCTCTGGCACGGTGACAAAGTTGCAAAAAAGTGACTTGAGGTTGGGTCATTCAAAGTGACCTGGTGACCTGACCTTAAAAGGTAGGAGGTTCAAACTTGCACACCATGTGTAAAATTGATGAAGGTATAGTCATACAAAATTTCGCGGCGCTACGCGCCGCGGTTTTCCCGATATTCGCGAAAAACCTCAGGGGGGCGGATATCCGCCCCCCCCCGTCGGTGCGCGGGTTAACCAGCGCCCCAGTGGCGGTCTCAGCCAACTTCGCCCTAGTGGGGGGGGGGGGGCATATGTTACCACCCACCTCTAACTCAAAAACTAAGAGGGCTAGAAAGACGCGGTAAAAAGCAGTCAATAGCTCTCAATGCGTACGTCTGAAAGTATTTCGGTCATTTTTCACCTTAGAGCAATATTGGGGTCACCAGAGGTCATCAAAGGTCAAAATTTGCCAATTGTCATTATATTTTTCAGAAAACATGCCGCTATCTCAGGAACTATGGTAGCTAGAAAAACGCATGGAAAAGCAATCGATAGCTTTTGAACTCTTCTTTTGAAAAGGTCATTATCAATATTGACCTCAGGTTAACGGTTTAGCCTCCAGAGGGCAAAAACTCCAAAAATTGCTGTTTTTACGAAAAGTGTTTTTCGACAATAGCTTTCGACTACAAAAAGCCACGACATTTCTATTGCCAGGATCGTGTTCCCCTCGCCGAGACGCGTCGAATGAACTATAATTTGACCTTGAAAGGTCAACTTGAAAGTTTGACCTTAGGTCAAGGTCATGACCATACCGGAAAAGGTCATGTTGCATATCAGTCGATGCGTCTCAACAAGACAAACACAATGAGACCATCCCCAGCGTTCTATCTCTTTCCAATCGCGAGTTATTGGCAAAAAAACTGTTTGTAGCCTCAAGTGACCTCGGATGACCTGTCTAGAGGCTATCAGCAAAAATGACACCTTGGTCATCACGAGTGGACTAAATTATTGTGATTCTGAAATATTTGGACTGTTCCGATGCGTACACACGGATCTAGAGGCATTTTCATTTTTCTCCATTGACTTGTAATGGAAAGGTCACGCCACTGACCTGACCTTAGGTCACGGATATAAAAAATCCGAGATATACAAATTGTAGGCGCCCATTACAGCATGCAATCCACCAAGTTTAAAACCTTTCTGACAAACACTGCAGGCTGGATATGATTGCAAACTTTTTTTAGGCTTGGTCAGTTAACTTGACCTGGTGACCTGACCTGACATGACCTGGGGTCAAAAATTTCACAGATTTTCCAAAATTGATGTACCAAAAGCTACCCCAAGCGGCGCGGCGCTACGCGCCGCGGTTTTTTATTCACACGCAAAAAACGCGACAGGGTGGTAACATATGCCCCCCCCCCCACTGGGGCGAAGAATAACGTATAGGTATAGTAACCAGCACGACCATCGTTAGATGGCAGGAATGAATGAAATAGGCGGTTCCAGGTTTCAGAAGGATTGGGACAGTAAATTGCGCTAAAAACAATGTTTTGGCGATACAGCTATATAAAAAGCTGATTTCATTAGAAGAGCACCACATAAGTTTTAAGCCTTTTAAATGGAGGTTTCAATAAGCATATGTAGGTATTATGTACAAGCATTTCCCAATTCGCCTCCAACGGTGTCACAGGCCAAAAATACTATGAAAGAGTAGTGTATACGGAAACAATTGCGGTCTCTGTACCATATGAGGAAGGCACCACAATTACCTCCTAAATATTCTAATGAATACCTAAATAGAAATCAACCAAAAACAAGCATGTAATGTAAATAAGAAGTATCATGTTACCCTACAAATATGTAAAACTTGAAAAAGTCATCCAAGATCATCAAATATCAATGACCTTGACCTGACATTCAAGTGACCTTTTCAATCACCGTAATGCATGGGGCAAACATCTCACATGTTAACACGCGCAGTGGAAGGGTTGCGACTTGCGAGTACCACGCCCAGTGGAGGGGGGGGCGGATGTCGCCCCCCCCCCCTAAGATCTCAGCTCCCACTGGAGCTAGAAAGACAAAATGTGGAGGGTAGGTGAAGGCCTTGGGGAACTCTGTTGTGTGTGAATTTCATGACCCTAGGTCAACAATAATATCTTCAAGGTCAAATGAGGTCAAATGTGGTCAAATCTGCCATATTAGCGACGTTTTTGCGTTTACACGCCGATAACTCAAAAAGTTATCGGCTGATTTTTTTCTTTCACTATAGGAAAGAGCATACATTTGTGAGTATGTATGGTGAATTTTAGGGGAATCCAACAATAAATATGCCAGTTAGAACTTAGAAGCCTGCTAAGGGTAAGATGTCGCCGGCTGAAGCGGGATCGGCGGACGCGGGAAACGCGGCAATCACAATTTTGTGTTTACCCACTCATAACTCAAGTTGTTATCGGCCGATTTTCAAAACTCTTTGATCATAAGATTGCCTGTACATTTCTTAGTCTTCTCACAAAGTGTGACGCGAATCTAATGCAATCAGCGGTAAGGAGTGCGATGTAAAGACGGAACCGTCCCGCCCCGGCACAGTCTACAATTCAGGCGGCGCGTAACGGCTATAGCGCCGGCCGCCGCGCCGCCGCGCCGCCGCGGCGGCAGGATGTTTGACTTTACACCGCTGTTACTAGAAAAGTTGTGAACAGATTTTCTTAAATCTTGCACGAGAAGATCCGCAGTTCAATTCTGTTGAAGTGCCAAAATTTCACATTAATATCATTTTTGCGGCGCGAGTTATTGGCGAAAAACAGGATGGGTGGGCGAAAGCCGCCCACCCCCCTTCCACTGCGCGTGTTAAAACGTTCACAACCACAAAACGACTAGAAACACACGGATAAAGTGTCCTGACATACGCCGAACCGTGATCCCGGCCTGACATAGCCTCAAGAAGCAGGGTACAGGTCAAAGGTCGTTTGGGTCATGGTCAGGAAATTTTTAGGGTGTGTGTAAAATTGATTCATTTTCGAGCGTTGATCATGTTGTACATTTCGTACAGTGTATAGTATACGCACACACACACGCACACCCCCCCCCCCCACACACACGCACACACGCACACACGCACACCCCCCCCCCCCCACGTGCATAAGCACAGGCATGAGCACATGTCCACGCACACGCGCAGGCACACGAACACAGCTGGGTTGCACTTACATCAGGTGTTCCTATCGTGCTCTTCACTGCTTCCATCATTTCCTCGAACGAATTCCACTTGTCCTCGGTCATTCCAATGGCCTCGGTCTTCATCATAAGCGTTTCGCGCTCCCTTCCAAAGCCAAACTGACAGACGAATTAAAAACAGGTCACAGCCCGACACATGATGCATTAAAAAAAAACACACACACACACACACGCACAATCTTATTATAATTTTTATCTGCATGTACAAACGTGAAGGTAAATGAAGCTTCAGTCACTTTTTAGGTCAGGTCAAAGGTCAGATAACCGGAGGTCATCAGAGTTCATCTAAACTAAAAGACAGTAAAATGAATAAAACATAAATGATCACATCAATAAAAAACGACATGAGCATGCTGTTGACTAGACTAAAGTTGATATACTAAATATGAGTTGACATTTTTTCCGAAACTGGTAAAAGCCAGCCAGCTACCGTCGGCCAGCTCAGAGAAGACACCGAGTACAGAACGCGTGAGCGACATGGTGGAGTGTCCCATGTGTCAGAACGTTGACTGCCTTTCTCATCTCAGGATGAGAAAGGCAGATTTGGGGTACCCTACCCTTGTAAGACCCGTTACAAATGGCCGTCCGCCGCTTTTGGGCCCTACCAATCATTAAATAACATGGAAAGAAATTGATCATTAACCTTCCAGGCGGTGGGGGAGGCATTTTTTTTTGCCCCCCTTTAGTTTTTTCGATATATCTCGAGAATCGCTGCGCCGATCGTCACTAAACTTTCAGTACCCTCCCGTGAACAGCTATTGCACATTGTGACCAATTTTTTTTTTCCAAAGGCTATGATAGGTTGGACGCTAATGATGTCAGAGTGACGTCATTTCTGCCATTTTCGACCCAAAAAAGGTTTTCGATTTATACACTAGCTTTTCTGAACCTAGCTATTCTGGCACTAGCTATTTTGAGGCACCAGCTTTTTTAAGCCAACAGCTATTTTGATTCTAGCGCTTTTGATACTAGCTTTTTTGAGGCACAAACTCTTTTGTACTAGCTCAAATGTCACTAGCTCAATTGTCAACTCAACACCTGTTATGATGTGCATCCCTGCTGACCAGGTGTTCACAGCTCAATGGGTGAAGCTGCGAGCTTAAACGGTAAAACATTACCTGGTATTTCTCCGAGAACTGCTCGTCTTCAGGAAGAGTCTTTATCTGAAACGAACACATTTTGTCACTTTTGTTGCACCTGGCCTCAGGTGAGAGCGTATGTTACTGTTCCTTTCCAAGTTTGCAGCCGAAGTGCAGTATCCATAACAGCATGTGAACAATGCTAGCGCAACTTTTTATGCGAATGCGTCAACGAATTGGAAAGCTGCGCATTTGAGACTTGAATTGACTCTCTGGCTGAATCTCTCAGCAGCCACAATTTTATCAGCTTTGTCGGTTATTATATTATCAATCATAGACCTCTGTACACCTGGACTGAGCGCAGAAATTTCGGCCCTGAGCATAGTGGCCCTAACTTTCAGATGTTATATCTCGAGATCAGTAACACCCAGAATCCAGATACCTATGTCCGGTCTTCACTGTTTAATGGTCCCGTGCATTGAAAATTGAATGAAATGTCGGGAAAGAATGGGACCAAAAGTCGCCAGTGCCCCTTAATTGAAGGTGTTCCGCCGCCACTGCTGGAGAATGCTCTTGATGATGGAGATTGTGTGGACACCCTGTATCTGTATTGCCGCAAGGCGTTTGACACTGTCCCACATAAACATCTTGTAGCCAAAGTATGAAGAATGGGTATAGATGGACCAATCATACACTGGACTGACGAGTTTTTGACTGGCCGTGAACAGAGTGTCGGTCCAAGGTTGTCATTCCAATTTCCAGGTGGAAAGATGTTTGGACTTGGAGTGGCGTACCCCAGGGCAGCGTACTAGGAACGACGCTCTTTCTCATATACATTGATGATCTATTGGAGGATCTGTAGTCGTCTGGGAAACTTTTTGCGGACGACGCTTAAGTCTACAGGACGATAAGGAGCCCCAATGACAGAATCGACCTCCAAGAGGACGTCCACCGACTGTACCTATGGACCAAGAAGTCGCTTCTGGACTTTAATGAAGACGAGTGTAACATGATGGACTTTAGGGCAAAGAACCCAGGCTACACATGCACGATGGGAGGAACCACTCTTGCTACATCTGTAAAAGGGAAAGATCTGGGAATCATCATTACACCGGACATCAAGGTCTCAGAGCAAGTGATCAGAGCAGCAGCAGCGAACTCCATGCTAGGAAGAGTAAGGAAAACATTCACCTACATGGACAAGGAAATGTCCCTGCCTATTTACAAAGCCCTGGTGCTCCCCCACATGGAGTACGCCATACAAGCCTGGTCCCCGTTCCTCCAAAAGGATATCATGAAGCTGGAGAGGGTTCAGAGGAGGGCTACGAAGCTCGTCCCTGAACTCGCCGACCTTCCGTACCCCGGATCGTTTGGCGGAACTCCAGCTGACAACACTGGAAGAGCGAAGGATCAGGGGAGATATGATTGAGGTACACAAACTGATCCACGGGCTCTACAAGGTGAATGCTGGGGAGGAGTTCCTGAGACTGGAGACTGGTGCGAACATGGAGAGGACGCGAGGACATGCACTCAAACTACAGAAGCCAAGCCACCTGCTACACAGGCGCAACCAATTTTCACTTTGAGAGTGGTGGACTCTGAAGTCGTACTGAGCAAGAACACCCACACTTCCAAAAACAGATATGACAAACTGTACACCATATACTGAGAAGAGGCAGCATCCCATGAGCAACCTGCTCCTTATGCCTCTTTCCTTTCTACTTTGGTAAGCATCTTCTTTGGTAAGCATGACTTAAGTAATACTCTTTGACGTAATTAAACGAGACCAAGGAAATATCCCAGCCTATTTGGGGCCTTGACCCTAACTACTAATTTGAAATTTTTCCCGTCCCTCCTTTAGACCTGCAGACTTATTTAGGCCCAGTGGCTGCGCTCGCTTTATTTGTGAGGGGCCCAGACGCGGGTGGGGGACCCAATGTCCACACAAATCCTGCAGACTGCCGTCTGCGGCGGCTGCGCCGGCCGGCCGTCCACCCGTGGCCTACCTGCACCGGGCCGCCGGCGATGTGCTGCGCGTACTGGTACTGGCCGCGCTTGTCGAGCAGCTCGCGCGCGCGGCGAGCGCTGATGTCCGGGTCGTCGTGCTGCGGCAGGCTGCTGTCAAACTGACTGATGCGGTACTCGGTGTAGGGGCTCAGCCAGCGGTGGACGGGGAAGAGCCAGCGGCCGCCGCCGGCCGACACCTCCACCAGCTCCAGCAGCCACGAGCCGCCGTCGGCGCCGGCCGCGTTGCGCACGAGGACGATGCTGTCCAGGTCGACCAGCGCGGCGGCCGTGCTGGCCGGCAGCTCGAACTCGCTGACAGTGTTACGCTCGTGGTCGTCCACGTGCAAGTTGTCCAGCTGGGTGAGGCGGCTCTCCGTGCCGGCCGAGTCGCGCAGCTTGATGAACACCCTGGCGTCTGTGCCGGCACCCTTGCGGTCGGCTGTGTGCACGCGCACCTGCAGTGGCACTCCCAGAGTGGACGCCATTTGCGGCTCAACTGGACCGACAGCGCGGCGAGGTGACCGATCTGGAGCGAAAAGGGCGGCGATTAGCACAGCACTGTATGTACAATACATACCTGACTGGCAACGGGGTGTCGCCGCAGTCGGCAGCCGCCGCGTGCATGTGCAACTGCCCGGCCAGGCGCTGCACCACTGGGGACACTGGGGACCGGTCCCCAGTAATTTTTGGGTTACTGGGGACCGTCCCCAGTAAAACTGACGACCTCAATTTGCTTAAACCTCGCCCCGTTGGGGGGGCGAGGTTTAAGCCCTGTGGTTTTTCCTGAATAGCAAGTGTTACAGTTTACGTCTGTTACTGTCCGGTGAAGGAGCCCGCTGGGATACTGCGCGGGATTTGTATGGGAAATGTATTTAGGTCAATGGATGGCTGTGAATGAGGGTTGAAGTGGGGGATGGGGGTGAGATTGCTGTGATGATAATACGGTGATTCACTACATAAATGGCTAAATGAACTTTAAGTTGATTTACTCCGCGAATTATGTCGAAATACGATTCAATGTAAAGTAACGCGACCGTTCTTGCTACATATTTGGCGACCGTGACAGGACACTGGGCAAACCGAAATGGATAAATACGTAGAATTAACCCGCGCCGTGCTGGGGGGGGGGTGTTTTTACGCCCCCCCCTCAGGTTTTTCGCGATTATCTCAAAAACAGCGGCGCGCAGCGCCGCCGTTTTTGGTACACGTGTTCCTACATCATTTCCGCACATGTTGTGAAAATTTCAGACCTAGGCCGTTCAAGGTCAGGTCACCAGGTCACGTCAAGTGACCTTACCTCAGAAAAAGTTCAAAGGCTCGCTATAGCTACACCGACTGAACGATCACTTTGAAACTTTCAGCGATTGATATGAGTAACAGTATGTATAAAATGTATATCTCGGATTTTTGATATCTGTGACCTAAGGTCAGGTCAATTTTGCGACCTCTCCATTATAAGTCAATGGGAGAAAATTGAAATGCGCCTCTTTTGGACGAATATCGTTCAAAACGCTCTCAAACATCGGTTCATAGGTAAACATGACACACTGAATAGGAAAAATGCACCTGTGACCCCTCTGTGTGCCCCTGAGGTCATCTCAGGTCATGAACGGTCGCCAGCAGTTTTTTGGCTATAACTTTTGATAGAGACGTGCTAGAGCGGTGAAAACACGTCAGATGTGTTCAGCTCGACGATACGGATCGACTGATATGCAACATGACCCTTTTCGGTCAGGTCATGACCTTGACCTGAGGTCAAATTTTCAAAATGACCTTTCAAGGTCAACAAATAGTTCATTCGACGCGTCTCGACGAGAGGAACACGATGCTGGCAAAAGTAATGTCATGGCGCTTATGAGTCAAAAGTTATTGACGAAAAAACGTTTTTCGTAAAAACGGCTATTTTTGGAGTTTTTGCCCTCTAGAGGCTAAACCGTTGACCTGAGGTCAAATCTGAGAACATTACTCAGAAAGGTTTGTAAAAGGGCTATCGAATGCGCTTTTCCGCGGCGCTGTAGCTGTATCGGTTCCCGAGATAGCCGTTTGCAGTTTCCAAAATGTTGAAATAGTCAACATTTTACCTTTGGTGACCTCTGGTGACCTGACCTTTGACCTGACCCAAAAAATGACCGAAGTGTTTTCGTCCTTATTTTTGACGCTCTTTCGATTGCCGCTTACCGCGTGTCGCTACGTGGCCCAGGAGCCGAGTTAGACGGGGGGGCGTGAAAACGCCCCCCCCCCCCCCAGCACTCGGCGGAAAGTTCAGGCCACCAGCACGGCGCGGGTTAGCGACAAGACAAGGCTTATCCGGACTGGAAGCTCTAGAATTCGCATCGAAGCAATATGAGAAGGATCAGGAGCGGGAAGAAAGAAAGCTAACAAGGGAAAGGGAGCGTGAAGAAAAGGAACTAGAGCGTGAGGAAAGAGAGAAGGAAAGACAGTTTGAAATAGAAAAGCTGCGACTTTTGGATGGTTCGATGGCCAGCAATGGTACAAGAACGAGTAAGAAGCTTCCAAAGCTCCCTCCATTTGAAGAAAATGGTGACATGGACATATACCTGACAAGATTTGAAAGAATCGCCCAGTCTAACAACTGGAACAGAGAGGATTGGGCGGTATCATTGAGCGCTCTGCTCACTGGAAAGGCTCTGGAAGTCTATCATCGTTTGAGTGCAGACGAGGCTGATGACTATGAGATCCTCAAGGAAGCACTGCTAAAGCGGTATGGTCTTACTGCTGACGGTTTTCGCAGACGTCTGCGGGAATCGCCTCCGGAAGAAGACGAGACACCGGAGCAGTACATAACACGTTTGTCGACATACTTGGATAAATGGATGTCCCTGAGTGAGTTTCCGACATCTTTCGATGGTCTCAAACAGTTGACCCTAATTGAACAGTTTCTATCGAGCTGCCCAAAGGAACTCGAGCTGTTCTTGAAACGAAACGGCCATAAAACACTAGAAGAAATATCCAGCGCTGCCGAACAATATCTAACGGCCAGTGGACAAACCCTGCACGGACTGCGCGCAACGGAAAAGGAGGCTATCCAGAAGCGCAGCTGGAAAACTTCGACACAGCCAACGACGACCATGCTGCCTTCTGCAGCGGCCCTTCAGGTATCGGCAAGAGCGCAAAAATGCGCGTTCTGCACGCTCGGGCATGAGACGGCACAATGCAGAAAGGCAGAAGCACTCTCGGTGGACGAGCGGCGCCGTCGGCTTCTCGCTGTCGGAGCTTGCTTCATCTGCTTAGGTCCTCATCACATTGCACGAACATGTAACAACGTGAAATGCTGCGAAAGGTGCGGAAAGCGACATCACCGCCTGCTGTGCACCGAAGAGGAAGCTGCACCCATCGTGACTGCTCAGTCCCAGGTTGAAGAGAAGGAACAAGTTCTTTTCCAAACAGCTAGAGCGGTGGCAGTCGGACCCGCTGGCAAAAGGAACGTAAGAATTATCCTTGATACTGGTTCAAACCAGTCATTTATATCAACATCTCTCTCTCTCGGGATTTGAAATGTCAGCGGCTTGGAACCCAGCGCAGAACGATCTCAACATTCGGTGGTGATCGCATAACCCACAAAACGATGAACTCTGTTTCCATCAAACTGATGAACTGCAGTGACCCGACCAAGTCTGTGACTCTGACAGCGGCGGAAACTGAGCAAATATGTGGCCCCGTCAACGTCAAGTCAGTGGACTTGAAGGACTATCCACATCTGAAGCACCTGACCCTAGCTGACTGTCCGTCTAGGTGGCAATCAGGAGATATCGACATACTGATCGGTATGGATCACTATCAAGATGTCGTGAATGGGCAGGTGAAGACCGGAGAGCGTGGCCCGATGGCGTGGGAAACCATATTTGGATGGGTTCTAGGAGGACGTGCTGCTGCCGATGGAACAGCTGCGAATGGGCAGGTCTTGTTTCTTCACACTGGAACTCTCCGAGAGGACATCGAGCAGTTGTGGGCGCTGGAAACCATCGGCATAGAACCACCGACATTCCCATCGAAAGTGAGTGAGACGCAAGCCGACAAAAACAAGGCCGTCGAACATTTCGAACGAACATGCACACGGGACGCAGATGGACGATACCAAGTTCGCTGGCCCGCTAAAACGGATTTCGATGAGCTCCCTACAAACAAAGACGTCGCACACCGACGACTGGAACGATGTGAGACATCTCTCGACCGCTCTGGCAGGCGGCAGGAGTATGATCAAGCCATTCGACAGTACATAGAGATGGGTTTTGCTGAACCCGCCCCGGTGGTTCCCGACGGACCGGTGCACTATCTCTCGCACCATGCTGTATACAAAGGTGACAAGATCCGCATCGTTTTCGATGCATCAGCAGGAAGTCCTAGGTCTTTAAACGACATGCTTTTGCCGGGACCCAACATGGTAGCAGACCTCACCGGCATCCTCATTCGCTTCAGACTGAACATGGTGGCGGTGTCAGCAGATATTGAGAAGGCGTTCCTTCAGCTGGCACTCCATCATCAAGATCGTGATCTCACCAGATTTCTCTGGCGAACGCCGGACGGGGAAGTGACCACCTATAGGATGACGCGGGTTGTTCGGTGTAGCATCATCTCCATTCCTCCTACAGGCTGTCATAAGACGACATCTTGAAGGACAGCCCGATGAACTGAGGGACACGGCTGATCGACTAAAACGTGACGTCTACTGCGATGACCTGCTGACCAGCATGGCAACCGAATCAGAAGCAAAGGTCTTCGCCCAAGAAGCAAAGGAAGTATTTTCGACGGCAAAGATGAACCTAACAAAATGGAGGTCAAACCGAAGCATCGATGTGGCAGGAAGCTCGGACACGGCAAAACGAGCAAGTGAGCCAGGTATCCTTCTAACGACCAGTGACGGAGAGCCGACAAAAGTGTTGGGAGTGAGATGGGTACCGCACGAGGATCAGCTCATCTTTCAGAGCAAAGATCTATATGATTTGGGGATGCAGCTACGGCCTACAAAACGGAACGTGTTGAGATTATCAGCTCGTGTCTACGACCCTCTGGGTCTTATTTCAGCGTTCACCATGCGTTGCAAGATGCTGCTGAAGGAGCTGTGGACCCTCGGTACAGCCTGGGATGAAGATCTGCCGCTCTCGTCAAGGCGGAGTTGGCTCGAGTGGCTGAATGGTCTTCGGTCTCTCGAGGCACTTCGCATTCCCAGACCGTACGTTTCGAACAACGTGGAAAAGTTCACCATCCACACGTTCTGCAACGCTAGCAAGACTGCTTATGCTGCAGCAGTATATCTCCGGACATGCGGTAAGACCAGCCCTGAAACGCGCTTGATTATGAGCAAAAGTCGGCTTTCGCCAAGTAAGCCCATGGCTATCCCACGCCTGGAGCTCATGGCCGCCGTTCTTGGATCGAGACTAACGGCTTACGTGATTGAATCACTGCCCTCCAAACCTCAGGACGTCCTTCTATGGACTGATTCTGCTGTCAGCTGTGGCGCTGGCCTGGATCCGAAGTGATCCTGGCCGCTGGGGGGCGTTTGTCAGC